AACACACAGAGTCTCTCTCTCTCTCTCTCTCTCTCTCTCTCTCTCTCTCTCTCTCTCTCTCTCTCTCTCTCTCTCTCTTGTGTCTCAGGGATTCCCCCCCTGGCTGCTGATGTGGCAGTGATGTCCCTCGTGCCTGTCTTTGCTCCCCCAGTCTGCACAACAGAGAACGAGCTTGCGCCCGTCGATCAATAGGCGGCAAATGTGCCGCTGGGGTGCAATGACCATCCGGGCCAGGTCCAGTCCTCATCCTCACGCGACGACCTCCGCCGTCATCTCCGTCCGCCGTACGGATCCTCGGGACGTAATCGGAGTCATCAGGATCGTCGGCGCCTGTGGTCTCACCGCCCTCAGCGGCTGTGGAGYTGTCGTCGTGGAGGATGATCGTGCTGCCTCGTCTCTTCTCACCTCGACCTGCTTCGTCCACTCTGTCACCTCCCTCCGCCCCGCCCTGTCCATCTGCGGCAACTGGCATCTGTCTGGTCTCGTCCGTGTTGCGGAAAAAAGGATGCAGGCGGCACCGGTGATACGGAATTGACACACCTGTTCCCTTCTTCCTCGCCCGTGACAGCCTCGCAGTTGCCGTCCTGGTGTCATTGACATCGCTCGTCTTGGCCCGTATAGGCCTCCCATGCTGCTCCTCGTAAGCTCTCATGGAATCATGACGAGTGCCGTCGACTTTGCCGATCGATCGCGCCCCCGCGGGCACATCTGCCGGTCCATATGTTGATGTCTGTCCGATATCGCCCGCCCTCCGGTCCATGCCCGCACCGTCGTAGAAAGACCTCGTAGGCAATGCGCTCGGCGCGGCCTACCCGTGGGTGGCAGGATCAGCGGCAGAGGGGCGTGAGGGTGGTGGACACATAATGTCACGCATCCCCGTCAAATGCGGTCGAGGCTCATCTGTGTGCCCGTCTCCAACGTCATGTGTGTTGGGCCTGACAATGCTGGGGTGTGCGGTCGATGACCCTCTGCGCTCGATGCCCCCCCTGAAGGACCGTTCACCATCTGCGCTCCCTGGCTGCACTGTATCCTCGCTCACGCCCTCGCCTCCGTCCGAGCGGATAACTCCGGGAGGCCTCACCTCTAAAGTCTCCGCTGACCCTCGATGTGGCTCTTGCTGCGGGCCCTCCTCTGGTGGATGGACTGATGACACGCCGTCCGATAACAACTGCGAACCATGACCCCCCTGCGCCAAAAAATCTCCAGACGCTGCCTCGAGTGAACCCTCCAGACTACGTTGAGCTGCGACGTGGGGTCCACCACGACGGTTCCCTGCTACCTCCTCCGCCAACCCCTGCTCCACCGCCCACGGTGCACCGACATGAAAAATGGTGGGAGTGCCGGACTCTGGAGGATGCAGTATCGTGTCGCCGCCGAACCCGTCGAACCCTCTGTCACGACGCGCGTCATCTCGTCTAGCAGGCTCCGGTGGTGCCACAACCGGCAAAGTGGGAGATATCAGTAGCGATATATCGGGCAGAGATGCCAAGGCGGAATCCATGGTGAATAGCTCGTCGGTGGGCGGAAGATTGTCGGGCGGGCAGTCGAGGCCGACGTGGTGGTCCGTCGTTCGTCCTCCCCGTCCTTTCCACAAGTGGGAGTGGGTGCAACCTCTCCCTCCTCTAGACCGCCGTCACTCGTGTGAGGAGGCGGCTCACGTCGTGCCTCGCCGTCCTCCAAACCCGCTCCTGTGGAGTGGACTAGGGCGCCTGTTGGAGTGCACCGAGTGTGCGCCTGGCGGAGTGGACCGGGTCCTCCGAACTCCGTCTCCTCCTCTGTGCCAACAACTGGCGCTGGCGACCGGGGATGAGTGATCCTGAACCC